GAATTTAATCTCATTATTGCAGAAGAAGTACTGAAAGTACTGGTATACCAAAAAGGGGCACTGGCGCATGTTGGATTTTAGTTACACCAGAAAGCTGCTGAAAATCACAGGGCTGGAAGAATGCAGGTAAAATTCAGGCTGTTATGAGTCCAGTCACCAGGTGGACTGGCACACATGTGTGATCCCAGCGCGCAGGAGGTTACAAAGTAAATTCAAGGGCAGCCTGTACTACATAGTGAAACCCTATCTCAAATAAACACAAGACACACAACAGAGAGAGAGAGAGAGAGAGAGACAGAGACAGAGACAGAGAGTCCAATAGACAAGTCTCCCTGAAGCAGAGGGAGAAGGGAATGACCGTTTAGCATCCACCTAACACCATGCTCCAGGGTCCAGCCAGAGCTCACAAAGCCTTAAGCCAAGTACACAGGATCTGGGAAATGCACCTTTGGGGCACGGTCTAAGATTAGGTCTGAGAGCAAAGAACCAAGTGACTGGGTCCTGTATCTGGCTCCTTCCAGAGACCATGACTTTTATTCTGGAAAGTCCAGCACAAGAAATAATCTACAGCCACTTGTTGAACAAAATACTCAAAGTGAAAAATCATTTTCTTTGTTAGAGGAGAAATATAAGATAGCCAATCTTTTTTGGCTACCTTAAACCTTTTTCTATCTCTTTCTCCATCAAACTGAAATGTAAACACCCACACACACCCACTGACACCACCCCCCCCACACACACACACACGCCCCATGCACGCAAGTACACACATACTGGTATTTTTGCCTTTTACTCTTGGCTTGTCACAGTTTCCGCATTCCCCAAGTTCCAACGGAATGAGAAGTCCTTGGTTATCTAGTTTGAAATTTCCATTGAGTTCAGTTTCTGTTTCCCCAGGGCCCTGCTCTGGGGGCCAGTCAGGCTAAGAAAGGAGCTTCTTTGCTATCAGACAATTTTAAGTCTTTTTATTATCAATTCTCCAGTTCAGTGCATAATGAGGTCTTGTAGTAGCAGATAGAGAATTCATTTCTCAGCCAAGAGGTTGAGCTTTGGCTGCCAGATCACAGACCATTATCTATAATTACTTCATGGGTAGTCCACAAAGATCATTTTCTTTGTAAGATAGAAGACTCAGGTCTTTCTGAAAGCTTTGTAGATTAATTCCAGGCCAAAGCAAGAGGAGCTGGTGTTGTATCTAAGATGAGGTGCTTTTCCTTGTCTGCAATGAGACCAGGGGCCTCTGCCCCAGACATAAAACCACTTCATGAAATAAGTGGGCATTCATTGCTCTGAACCTCTGGGCTCTTTGTTATTTGCCAGGTTCTCTATGAAAGGTCTCTTGCTCTCTAAGTGAAGTTTTCTGTTTGAGTCATGACAGTCTGCAGAAACTTGCTTATGAATTGGCCAGGGGCCTGATTCCCTGCACAAAGGCAGGAGGAAAATCGTAAGTTACTCAGTAGAAAATGAAAATTCTGAAAACTCAATGAGAAAAACATTGTTTGTTTGTTTGTTTGCAGAAGAGATAAGCACTGTACTGGAGCCCACTGTGCCACTCTCGCAAAAGCTGATTGCAGGTGTCTGTCCCCAGACCCAGCTCACTGAAGGTTTGGAAGCCTGGGAGGATTTACACCACCGACACAGGACAGGGAACATGGTAAGTCGGGGCTTTTGATTACTAATTCTTCCCAGAAACCAAGATGTAAAACATTTACCAAGGTACCTGTTCTGTGTCGGTGAATCCCAGAATTAGATTTATTAACTAATAAAAGGTGATGGAACCCACAGGGATCTCATGAAAGGAGCTGGGGGCCTTCATGAGATCCCTGTTACAAGGTCTGAGAGTGTGCAGAATAGTTTTTAAGAGAGACAAGGGAAAGGAAAAGAGTTCTACAATGAATGCTGCTGAGAAGCAGAGGCAGTTCAGAAACGGGGCCCAGGACAGCCATTATCAGGTGGCACAGGAATGAAGTGGGGTCGAGGGGTCATTGGGAAAGAAGTCACCAATAGGTAAGGCAGCAGAAGTCCCTCGGAAGGACAGAGTTCGCCATCATTCCAGAGCTGTGCTGTGGCCTCGGCAGAATGGCCATTGGTGTGGCTCTGGCCAGGCACCCTCAGAAACCAGTGTTGTTTTGTTTGTTCCTTTTTTAGCCTCTGTCAGGGATATCAGTCTAAGGAGTGGACACAAGGTCTGGTTTCCTTGGAAACTGCAACTGAGCAATGCCATATCCCCTGGTTTAGAAATGAAGCCTCCTCCCTGTGTCGGGGTGACCTAACAGGCCTGGTCCTCCAGGCACAAGTGGGACAGTCATCCCCACCAAAATATTGAGCAGCAAACTTCCTTGCAGCCTTGGGTTTTAAGAAAACATGATTCTCAGCACAGTTTTACAGATGTCAATGAATGAACACAATCCTTCCACATGGGTATCTCCTACTCCTCACCCTGCATGCTTCCCAGCATTTGTTTTAGCCTTGCTGGTCTCACCCTAGATCCATAGGGAACACAGTTGTATCTTTAGCCAAAGGAAGTATGGACAGGCATGGCTAAAGATTTTAAAATTTCCATTTCTCATACCTGTTTTCTCCAGATCCAGGCATGGTACTGCCCACAAAGTGAAACCTTATTAAATTCTTGGAAATGAAATTTTAAGGAATGAGGTATATCTGGGAGTGAAATGGGATTGTAGTTGATCTCGGCCAATACTATTTGCATAATTCACTCTATGCATTGTTTATTACTGTAGTGATCAAGTTGCTTTTTCTATAGAAAGTTCCTCTTCAAAGTGATGCTAAGAAGGAAAGTGTGGTATTTGCAGCTCTGAGCTGTAGGTGTGGCCCTTGCTGTAGGTAAACGTGAGTGTGGTCTTTTGCTACCTTCAAATCCATAAAGGAACCTGCCACAAGCTACCAAAGCTTTCAGCCACTCGCTTAATATGATACCTAGCCATCTGCTCCAGAATCACCCAAGATGTTTGCTTTAAAAGCACAAATTCTTCTCTCCATCCCTGAGGGGCTAAATTGGAGGTTTCAGTGTGGACATTGCTACTCCAGAGCTGGAAACCAAGTTGGGCATCTTTGCAAGCTGAAAGAACAGCTGATCCACATGGAGGGATATTTTGCCTATATGGTCTCCTCAACCCATGTGAATGTGTTGATGTTCAACATTTATTCCCTTGTCCATTCAAAGAGCATTTGCCAAGTGCCAGACACAGCGGTAACAGGAATGCAGCAAAAACTCAAGATGCTCATGACCTTCCAAGAAAACCATGTTTCAAGACTGTTCTTCCTGAACTGAAATTTCATTTGACTGTATTTGGACTCAAAAGGAAAAAATGGCATATGCTTCCTAATTGGAATTCCCAGTACTGACAAGCTAAGCTGCTAAAGGCAGTTGCTTCTCTGGAGGATGTTGTTGGTTGGAAGACGGAAGAGAAATCGACTTGACTACATTGCCCCCATTTTTGTTGTCCCCAAAGCCCACCATGTGCCTAGGAGGCAGTGGCTTGCAAACAGGGTACTGACAAAAGGAAATTGAGCCACTTCATTGAACTCCTTCTCCGCTGCTGCAAGACCTCCCCAAGTCCCATCCTAAGGAGAATCTCTCAGGCCCTCATCTTCGAGCTCAGCATGGATCATGGTGTCAAGGCTGCGGCTTCATCTCCTCTCCTCTCCTGCAACTGACTGTGTAAGACCTGGACCATGATGTGAGCTTATTTGGGCCACTTAGATTCCTGAGCTTTCTCACAGCTGACCATATCAAAGAGGCCATTTGTTTTGCTTAAAAGGAAAACAATTTTATTCAAAGCTAGCTGCAAGGAAGCAGGGGGGTCTGTTATTCTCCAATGACCATCTAACTGTGTGCAGGTGTGTTAGAATCTTTTATAGCAAAGAAAGGTATAAGAGAAATAAAGAGGGATAACAGACAAGTTCAGCCTTGTTCTGCCTCTTTCGGACTCAGACCTTTCCCTTCTTCACCTAAGGAAATGAAATTGGACTTGACCACCTGATGTCAGCATCTTGCTCAGGAGAGAAAGGGCAGCCTTTCATGCCCAAGGTTTGTGGAGGTTGAGAAGCCTTTTGTCTCAAAAGGAAAAACTCTTAACTGCAAGCTAGAGCAAGAGGAATTAGAGACCACACACCCCGGCCTCTTCTGACCAACCCAAACCTCTGGAGGCACTGGTTCTCCCTCCTGTAGTGAGTGGAATCTTACTCACAAAGACCAGTGAGACCACTGTGTCAGGCTCCAGAAACCCTTAGAAGACAAACTTGGAGCTTCCAGGGAAAAAGATAAGCATGGCTGTCATCCTTGGATCCTTTCTGTCTCTTAAATATTTCCTACCAAATTTAAATGCAGAATATTCAGGGACCCAAATTTTCCATTTCTCTAAGCTACTGAAGAATGTAGTCTTACCAAATGACAGAGGAAACCAAAGAACTGAAGTCACAGAATCCAGGATACAGGGGCTCAAAAACAGGTATTGATCAAAGAAAGTGGGACCAGTTCCCTCCGTCTCTGCTACTGCAAGACTTCCCCAAGCACTGTACTAAAGAACATGTGAACCAAAATGCTTTTTAAAACATGTTTGATAGTACAGATTCTTTCTTCTTCCTGGCCAGCCTACCGACTAGGGCTTTAGGAAACCAATAATCCTATGTGAATTTGATGCAGTCTGCAATAAGATTTCTAGCATATTCTTACTGATCAAACAAGGATAGAATTCCAGATTGGAGAATGTTTCATCTTGGCCTATTGAAGGCATCTGTCCATTGCCTGCTGGCATATGGTGTTGTTATTGAGAAATCCAGTGCTGTTCTCATTCCAACCCTTTGAATGTGGCTGGGTTTTTGGAAATTGTTAGGGTCATTTCATTATCCCAATGCCCATGATGTTACACTTTTGTTCTTTCACTCCTTTCTCCATTGCTCTGAGCAGAATGATGACCTTTAGGCCCTTTCCATCATGACTTAATCAAGTTACTCCTCCCTCTGATCCTTCTTCTGCAGAGTGAAGAATGGGCCCTGTGAACAGTGGTGAATGAACCAGGTATGATTTATTAGAACAAAAAATTCTCTCCCTAGCCAAAAGACACTCCAAGGAAGGACACGGTAGAGGAACCCAGATCTAGGGGCATCTATGCAGCCTTTGGTGGGTGCCCAAAAGGGGCAGTTTGACATTGGCAGGTATCATGGTTTGTGTCGATGGCCCCCAGGCCACATGGGTTTGCATTGTGCATTTGACAATGATTGGCTCATTGTCTAGTGCTTGGATTGATGGTGTGAGTGCTATACCCATCTAGGGTGGAGCCAGCAGACTATATAATGGCTGGAAAAATGTATGTCTCTCTCTCTTGCCAGTTTCTGCCTTGCCGTTTTCAGCCACCATGAATTGCAGCCCCGCCATGCCACCCTGTCTTGGAGCAAACTGAGTAAGGACTGAAAATTCCAAAAACTGTAAGAAATAAACTTTTCCTTTCCCAAGTTTGGGCATCAGGTATTTTGTCTCAGCAATGAATGAAAAGTAACTAAGACAGCGTAGGTATCATCTAGCACTCTTTCACACTTGACAGACATGGGAAAATGAAGGTATCCAGGTGTTGCTGCTAGGCTTCCTGTCAAGAGAGCAGATTTCTATTAGGCCTTTATCCCTAGTGTTCCAATTTCCCAAAGTTCATCCCAGTTTACTCAGGCACTGACCCTCACTGGCCAATCATCTCTTTATCTTCTGGCCTCACTGTGGCCTTCAGCTCTGGAAAGTTTTCTTGCATTAAGCTTTTGATAATGCTATATATTCTGTTTTCTCTATTTTCTGTTTCTAGGACTCCTACTGGTCAGATCTTGGACTTTCTCACTGGTCTTGATTTTTTGACTGTTGGTTTCCTATTGTCCATTTTATTCTTTCTATTTTTTTTCTGGGATGTTTTCTTACCTTTTTCTCTAACCTTTCTAATAAAATGTTGGATGAGGAGGCACTCCAGTTTTAACCCCCATGGTTGCTTTCTTGATTTCTGATTGTTTCCTTTTCTTCTTTTTAAAATTATGGCACAATATGCATACCATGAAGATCAATTTTACTACTTTTGAATGGGAAATTCGAGGATGTGATGTTCATCTTCAGCGTTGTATAACTACCATCACTACACATTTCCAACTTTGTCATCACTGCTTACAGAAATTCCACAACTATTAAACAATAATTCCCCATTTCTTCATCTCCCTATACCGGGAAACCACTATTCTACTTTCTGTCTCTATAAATTTAAGTACTCTAGACACTTCGCATCAATGGAATCACACAGTATTTCCTTTTGAGTCTGGCTTATAGCACCTAAGATAATCTTTTCAGAGTTCATCTGAATTGTAACTTGGGTCATTCATTGTTTTTCAAGGCTGCAAAACATTTCATTGAATGCACTTTCACATTTCATTTGTCTATTCATCCATCTACAAACATTTGGGCTGTTTCTACCTTTTGGGCTGCTGTGAATTATATTTCTATTAATGTTGGAGAATAAATACTGTTCAACTCATTGTTTATGGTATATTTCCAGGAGTTGAACTACTAGATCATGTATTTACTCTGCTTAAGTTTTTGAGCAGCTATCATAAAATTCTCCCCTAGTAGGCTGCAGTATTTTACATTTCCACCAGCAAAGTACAAGGGTTATAATTTCTCTATGTTCTCAACATTTCTTATTTTGTTTTGCTTGTATATTTTTCATTTTGTTTACTTAAAGATAAAAACACAGAAAAATCAAGAAGCAAATGAACCATCAAAGAACAACAAAAGCAAAATGACAGCAACTACAACAGACAATAGTGATACAGGATTTCAAAACAAGATGATAGGAATTTAAAAATGGTCGTTCTATTACAAATTGTTCTCCCAAAATAGTTGCTCAGGTTACCAGATACAAGCATGCAAGATTGATCAAACAATACAATTTACCTTTCTTTTTCTTTTCCTATATCTATTGTAACTTTTGCATCTTTTTACTCCTTGAGTGTCTTACATTAGTGAAACAATACAGTGGTTACACAGACAAGTCTGATTTATTTCACTTATAAGTATGATTTAAAGTTGCATCTATTACTTATGAAAGCCTCAAGTTTGTCATTCTTTATGCATCATCCTGTAGGTGTTGAATTGTTATTTCCTGATTTCTTGTTATTTTTAAAAGATCTTTTATTTCCTGTTCACGGGCTGCAATCTTGTCTTCGAGGTCTGAGATTCTATCTTCACATTCATTGAGGTGGTTTTTACAACTTTCAATGGAGTTTTTGATTTCCTGTATATCTCTTTGCATCTGTTTTATGTATTCTATTTGTTTCTTATATTGTTCATCCAGGGATTCTATCGTTTTGTTTAGTTCCTCCAATTTTTTAACTGCATCTTCTTTAGCTATGTTTAGCATCTGCTTTGTTTCTTTTATCTGAGAGATTATTTCTAGTTTGAATTCCTTTAAGGCTTCCCACATTTGCTTCTTTATTTCAGTTACCATTATTTCAGGTATTTCAGTTATGTGACTTGTGTTTTCTTCTATGCACATGGCTCCTGGGCTTTCTTGGGATGGGCTGGATGTTTGAGATTGCATTTTGGTCTTTCATTTTGTCATTTTTCTGTATTTTGGAGCTTCAAGTGTTGTTTCAGGTGTGGGAGAGAGGTCCGTCAGCCTGGGATGGGGTTCCCTGTGATGGCCCCACTCACTGGACCTGGCAGGGAACCATGGCCTGGTCCTCAGGCCAGGAAGAGTGTCTTTTCAGGCTGGGCGGGATTCCCAGCCACCACTGCTAGTCTCTGATCCAGCCTGGTCCCAAGTCCGGTGGCGAACCAACCAACCGGACTGGTCCCCAGGTCAGGGAGAAAGTTCCTGCAGGTTGGGCGGAGCTCCCAGCCACTGCTGTTACACTCACCAGCCCGGCCTGGTCCCCCAAAAGCCTCAAGTTTGTCATTCTTTATGGCTGAGTAGTACTCTGTTGCATAAAATACCACATCTTTTTATCCAGTCCTCAGTTGATGGGCATTGGGGTTGTTTTCAAGATCTATTACAAATTGTGCAGCTAGGCTGTTGACAGACTGTGGAGGAGGAGAACAAGAAGTCAACAAGAAGCTAAGACCTCCTGTGAGTGGGCGCCATGTGTGGGGTGACTGGGCACCATGTGTGGGGTGACTGGGGGAGAGCCAGACGCCAACACCTGGTGAGTGGGAAGGCAGACAAGAGGCAACGTTCCAAGCCCACCCTCCATATGCTACCGGCTGATCCAGAGAAACACAGGCTGTGCTGATAGCTAATGAGATAAAATACAATTTAAAGCTTGTAGTACTTTGCAGGCCTAAAGCCTATAGTCTGATCATTCATTCAGAGGATAACAATATGCAATGTAGCATATATGGGGGAATCTCCTTTTCAAGGTGTTTACCACTGTTAATTCCTTATTACCTTGTTTCAAAATCCTGTATCACTCTCTTTTTTTTTTTTTTTTTTTTTGGTTGGGTTTTATTCTGTTTTACATGTTTGATTTTGTTGTATCTGATGGCATGGCAGCTATTATGAAGATAACAAAATATATTATGGTAGCCATTTTGAATTTACTATTACTTTGTTTTGAAGTCCTGTGTTGCATTCACTGTTTTGCTTTTACTGGTTCTATTCTCCTCTGATTTGTTTTGTTTTGTTTTTTACTGTGTCTGAATGTGTAGGCAGCTATTTTGAACACAAGAGGCATTATGGTAACCATTGTTGATTTCCTATTATCTTGTTTTGAAACCTTATGTCACTTACACTATATTGTTTAGATTAGCTTTATTCTGTTTTATTTTGCTTGTCTTTATTCTCAATAAAATAAGATAAAAAAATTTGTGCATCTATAAACATTAGTGTTCACATATTGCTGTTGTGTAATGTTTTCATTATATTGAGAATATAATGAAAATGCCCAGAAGGGGAATAGCTGGGTTGCATGGGACCTCTAATTCCAATTCTTTGAGGAATCTCTATACTGATTTCATAGTGGTTGTGCAAGTCTGCACTAGTGGAGAAGGGTTCCTTTTTCCCCACAGCCCCTCCAGCATTTGTTATTGGTTGATTTCTTGATAATAGTCATTCTTACTGGGTTCAGATGGAATCTCAAAATTATTTTAATTTGCATTTCTTGAATGACCAGTGGTGTTGAACATTTTTTTCAAAATATTCATCTGCTGTTTGTATTTTTTCATATGGGAAGTGTGTATTCATCTCAGATGCCCATTTTTAGATAAAGAGGCCTGGTTTTTTAAAATTCTTTGCAGGTTCTAGATAAGAGTCCTTTGTCTGAGGGACAGTTGGCTAAGATATTCTCCCAATTCATGGGTTTTCTTCTCACTCTGTTGGTGATTTCTTTTGACATGCAAAATATTTTTGTTAAGATCCCACTTACTGATTCTGTGAAGTATTTCTCATTCAGTTTGGTTTCTATTAATGAAGTCTCTGCCTACCCCATGTATTCAAGATTTTTACCTATTTTGTCTTCCAGTAGATTTAGTGTTTCTGCTTTAACATTTAGATCTTTGATTCATTTTGACTGTAGTTTAGTGTATGGTAATAGACATGGATATAATTTCAGTCTTCAGCACATGGAAAGCCAATTTTTACAGCACCTTTTATTAAGAGGCTGTCTTTTTTACAGTGAACATGTTTGATCCCTTGGTCAAAGATAGGTGGCTGAGTGTGTTTGCATTTGTGACTGCATCTTCTAATGTATTCTACTGATCTTCAGGTATGGTTTTTTGCCAATAATCTGCTGATATTATTACAGTAGCTCTACAGTATAATTTCAAGTCAGCGATTGTGTTACTTCCTGCCTTGCCTTTGTTGCCCAGGATTGCCTTTGCTATTGTAGGTCTATTCTGGTTCCAGATCAATTTTGGGAATGATTTCTCTAGTTCTGTAAAGTATACTAATGATATTTTGATTGGAATTGCATTAGTTCTGTGTAACAATTTTGGGAAGATGGGCATTTTCACAATATATGTTTTTCTTATCCATGAACAAGAGCTATCTTTCCATTTGTTCTGACTTTTTCAGAGTACTGCAATTTCCAATGTATAGATCTTTTACTTCTTTTGTCAGAATGATTCCTAAGTATTTCATTTTGGGGGTGGTATCATGAAGGATGTGGTTTCACTAACTTCTCTCTCAATGAGTTTGTTATTTGTGTACAGAAATGATGATTGACTTCTGAGTGTAGGTTTAGTATCCAGCTACATTACTGAATTTGGTTGTTAGTCTAGGAGTCTTTCAGTGGAGTTTTGGGGGTCTTCTGTGTAGAATATCCTATCATCTGCCAATAGTTTTAGTTTAACTTATTTTCCTATTTGTTATGGTTGATACATTGTGTCAACTTGAAACATTTAGAAGTTTGAGGAGTGACTCAGCAGGGAGCCAGGATTCTTACTTAGTAAATATCCTTATTCTGGGCAAGAGGAGGGCACAAAGATTTTG